TTTCATTACCCCGGCGTGTACTGTCACTTAATTTTTATGTATGCAATCCTTCCTGACAAATATGATCTGCTGCCTGGTAATTCGTTTGACGTTCATTCTGTTCCTTGCTCTAATTATGGCTTCCATTTCTGACATTGAGGCGGCTGCGCTGCCACAGCCAGATAGTACACCTGTCAGACGGGTTGTGGTACTGCCTAATGCCCTTTTATGCCAGTCTGATATTAGGAAATACAAAGAAAGAAAAAAATTAGATGAATATATTTGCATAAGCCCTGTGTTCAATTCATGGGTCAGCAGCCTTAGAAATTATGGTTCAGGGTGGTTGCTAGGGCAACATGGCTACAGGAAGTATCAGATACCACAGACTAGGCCTGTATAAGATCATATCTATCTATATCTAGCTACCTTAAATATAAATAGATATAAAATATCATTCACACTTACTAAAATGTAAATTTCCAAATGAAAAAAACCTTTTTAAACCAGACTCTCTTTCTTGCGGCTACAACACTACAAATCTAGCCAATTACATAAAAACAGCTATTACTCCAAATATTATTTTTCGCCAAACAAAACCTCTTTTGAACATAAGAATGTACTTTTTATTTGGAAACAAGCATCACTGTAAACAGCTCTTTCCCCCTTGGAAACCTAGATTTTACCTTTTCACATTGGTTTTCATTTTGCTTTCAGGGTGCTATTTCTTTGGAGGAAGGGCAGGATCTACAGAGAGGAGCTTTAACTCTTACTACATGCGCTTTCTGAATTCAGCAAGAGGAGCTCTGATAAAGGTCACAAGCCTGGTTTACATGTTCGGCCAGTTTCCAAGTCCCAATTTATTCTTATTAATATAATAAGCACAGCAGTCAAACTAGATAAAATCAAATTATTGGACATGATCATATTTTTGCCCATTCCTGATGATGTGATTTTAACTTACTCTGATGGGGATTTTTTTCCTCTTTTTATAAATACATTCTAGACTGAAATCTGACAGTAAAATAAAACTCTCCTACTATTTTGAGTACGTACATTTTAGAAGTACCTCGCTTGCTATTACATCTTTTTATAACAACAAAGGTTCATACGTCGTCTCTGTTTTTCTGTGTGCTTAAAAACCTCACTGGTGTATGTGACACGATTACCAAATAAATGTCGATTCAGTGCAGGTAGTAGCAATTTAAGCTAGGCTCTTCTGTGGAATGTGAGAAATGGCACAAATACAAAGTGAAATGAAATCAACACCTTGTGTAGTCCAAACTGACCTTGGGAACTAAAGGTAAAGAACTTAAATAGAGCCACTTGCTCTTTAGTGAGATAAGACTCGAGTATTTTTGAACATGTTAATACAGTATAGAGATATAATTGACTAGGAAAAGAAAAGAAGCAACCTCTCTTAGATGATCACACCTTTTACTTAAAAAGAGGTGACAGAGTTAAAAATGCTCTGGAATGGTAAACACTTTATGCTCTCAAAAACTAAAATCTTGTATCAGTATGATGCAAACCACATAGCCATCTAGAGCTTTATAAATAATGCACAGTAACAAAGTTTACATGAAAAATCAAATTTTATATACAGTCCCTTTATATTAAGAAAAAAACATTCATGCTGTTTATCATCTTGCATACGCTAGAAAGGTGTATTATTCAAACAGAATATTCAAAACACATGCGTCTGACGAAGTGGGTATTCACCCACGAAAGCTTATGCTCCAATACATCTGTTAGTCTTTAAGGTGCCACAGGACTCTTTGTTGCTTTATTCAAACAGAGGAACTGTTTGAAAACGTTGGAATCACACCACTCATATTGGGGAAATAGGGGAATAAACAGAAGTGTGTGATTACAGTGATATTTAAGGATGTTTGTTGGGTAATGAGAACAAGTGTACATTTGTCATAGGTTTTTGAAAATTCCTACTGCATCTCTTACTGTCTGATTTTTAGTAGGGCTGCCTTTTATAACAGGTAATTATAGTTTGCTTTGCTAATTTTATATCCATTTCTATTCATCATTCTAATATCTTTGTAATAACATAGTAAATTAATTTTCCACCATTGATATGAAGTATCAGTGTTTGAAATAAGTACTGGATGAGATAAAGCACTTATCGGATACTTGTATATTAACTGTCACATGATATCCATGCAACAATTTATATTTTAGTGCAGTAGGTATTTCATTAATAATGTACAACAATTAATTATGCTCTAAATTTCCAATTCCCTCTCACTGTGAGAGTAAAAAAAAATATCCTGTATAGAAGTTCTATCTATCTATCTATCTACATAGGTACTGTGGCCCTCATCACTATCTATCTATCTCAGCACTTTCTAACCCAGTGTCACAAAAACATCTACTGAAGAAATCAGAGAAGTAAGAAAAATGCAGTGAAATCCTACAATGGTTCTAAATACAACTCTCCCACTTACTATTTCAATGCATTAACGTGAACATCTATGTGCGTAACACTACAACACAAATGACATCTGCACTACACTGGGACTTTACTTTCCACTCACCAAGTGTATTGTATGCCGGAGGTGTATGCCAGTCTAATGCACAGTAAACTCCTTGGGGCAGAGTCTTCCATTATAATCTGTACAGCACACCAAACACTGACAGTGCTCAAATAAAGTGCGTGTGTGTGTACAGTCTAAAGAGCTACATATACATATTATAGACATCTACATACAAACATCAGTACACACAAACTAGGTCATCACACACTTTCTGTTAAATAAAATAGTGTGTGTTGTGCATTTCATCTCATCCTAAATCTGGATCAGCTTGGATCCTTTTAGGCTTAGTTTTCATACTACAGTAGCAAACGCTTAATGCCTTGTTAAAGCCAGTAATTAGAAATGTTTCTGAAATACTTCCAAAGGGAATGGATCCTCAAAACCTCTCACCTCTGTAGCAAACCAGGTTTTAAGTACTATCAAGTAAAACAACCTAACTCTCGTAAGTAGAAGATACCACCAATGTTCTCTCTTGAAAACTTATGATAAGACAAAGAGAAGCCTAAATGATCATAGTGCACTTTGTATCTTGTGCCTTCCACTGACCATGCTGCTGAGCGCAAAGCACTTTAACCCTTTACCTGTTTTTCAAATAATGAGCCTGATGGCAAGAGGGTGAAACCCACTGTTGCTTTCTTGCATGAAAAGGGATAAAAATTGTAGTTTCTTCTGCCACATCTGTGGAACTCTGAACACTCCTCATCTAACCACACACATACATGCACCCACCCACCCCGTCTCAGGGTTCAATTCAATTTTAAAAGATCCAGTTAAGGCCAATATTAGCCACTGTTAGCTACAATTCAAACTAGGGCCCAGAGAACATTAACACTGTAGTTCTGTCAATGATCAATTTAGCCAAACCTTCAATATAGTATCACGTCCAGAGCATGATCAGGATTCTTATTTGTCAAGCAAGCCAGATAACTGAACAGGTCTATTTTCTTAGCCAAGATAACACAGCAAGATCCCTTCTCCCCTCCCCTTTTGACTACAAATGCAGTGAATCACCAAAATGGGAAAGAAAGGACAATTAACCCTCTCTCACTGAAGCCAATGTTGCTCCATAAATTATCTAACTGGAATAAGAGTAATGGTTGTTGAGCCAGAGAGACTGCAGATTCATGTCTCTGAAAAACCCCAACCAAAAGAGTTTGCTGGGCAATTAGCGGAATATTGATTTCGTGTCCTTTAGAGAAGCTTGAATATTCAGCACTGTAAGCTCTTTGGGGCAGGAAGCAGGTTGTCTTACATATAGTAACTATCTAGCACATTGTAAGCACTGCTGGAAACAACAAACAGTAGTTATACAGACTCTACTGCAACTGTATCCTAAAACTACAAATCTTATAGCAGTATCAACCCGTGAGGAGATCAGGAGCCTACAGAAAACCTCCCTAAGAAGCAAACTTTGTTCATAAAGTGAATTTTAGGCCGATGAAAGGTGCCAGATTGACAGCCCTGGAGACAGAATGTATATTTATTTCCTAAGAGATACAAAGAACTGCCGTTACTACACACTGAAGTCTTCCACTTTGCTCTCCTCTACCATTGCCTGACCACTAGGACGGCCACAGTGCTGTTAAAATCTGTCCAGTAGATATATCAAATTAGATACCACACACCCCACCTCACCACTGCTGGGGATGAAGGCTTCCAGTGATATCATTCCTGAAGACAGAAAGGTCAAAAGTACTTCTGCAGATGCCACTAGGAGTATTATGAAACAAAACCACCACACAAGGACAGCGGACGATTTTGAAAGACGTGTAATTGCACAGCAGAAAACTTTAAACCAAGCTGCTGCTGAGCAGGTTCCTGGGAAGCCTTTAGAAAACACAACTTCACCTGAAACTCACCTCAGGTCTAAGAGCTTTATGTTGCTCTGAGTTGTTATGGTGGTTGTTTGAGAAAAAGTCCTTGTTTGGAACTGGTGAATTGCCAGGGTTTCTATGGAAATGTGCTTTTACACACTTCCCATTCTCAGAGAGCAATTGCAATGGCATCTTGGAGGGAGTGAGCTGATCAACATTACCAAAAGAAGTTGGTGGTGCAACAGTTGATATCAGCACAAAGAAGAAATTAAGGAAAGGGAGAAGGTATCTTGGATCTTATTGTTTATTAATCCTCTAAATACAGTGCATCACACACTCAAATGTGCTATTTAGATAAAGAAAGATGCCTATGACAACCTAGTCACATATCAGAAACCATTATACTTACCACAGTGAACAACGCTGCAGAAAAAAATGTCATGGAGAGTTTTAATTAAAAAAATTTAAAAAAAACTATTTAAAATTTGCATAAAGAAACCCAATATATATAAACAGCACTTAAAACTTGTATCATAGAAAACATGTCAGAGGTACCTGCTGAACCAACCTTTATCACATTATGAGGACAGATATCACTTTGTTTGAACTTCACAGTGATACATTGTGTAAGCATGTTTAATGGCTAAAAATGCCATCTTACCTAAGGAATGTGCTGCAGTGGTTTTAGAACTAAAAAAGCGGCCTAATCCAAGATCTCCCAGCTTCACCACTCCTGTGGCTGTTATAAACACGTTGGCTGGTTTTATGTCTGCAAAAAGGGAGAAGGAGAAGGTCAAAGCCACAAAAGGTTATCTGTTGTAATACTGCAATAGAAACATAGCCTGGAGCCTCTTCTGCACAAAAGAGAGACTCAATCAGAACCATGTTTCTGCACAGCTTTGATAGGCTGAATCTTCTAAGACTTCAAGTTACATAAAAAAACCTGAGTATACTTCTCAGTGCAGCAGAAATATTAGCAAGGGAAAAGTTGTAGGAAAACAGCATAACAAAAGAGGTAACCTCTCTCACTCACGGAAATCAAAGAAATATTTAAGTCCAGCTTCCCTTTGGAAATTTACACAGAGAACTATTTATTATGGTTGACTTTTCCCTTATATCAAAGGTTGATCTACATGTCCAAAACTTATCCACATTTTGTGAATGGGACAGTAATTTATATAGAAGTTCTATATTTTTTGTATCAGGCTTAAGATGCAAATTTGCAAACCGTATGTTAGCAACATGTTTGTTCTGTTGGAAGCCCGGTCTTATGGTTAAGTTAGAGGGGGGGCTAGGTTACTTGGATTCTATTTTCAGTTCTGACTTCTGTCATAAATGGCCACTCAAGAGCCCAACAAAATTGGTTGCTTAATAGAGGGAAGGCCCTCCTAATGAAGGTGGAGCCATGTTACACTCAGTACATTTTGAGGATATGAGAGGGAAGTCACCTAATTAGGATGGGCTTGTACATGATTCATTCTTCCACTCACTTCCTTTGATTATCAACTTGCTCACTGAATATCAGTCCCCTGGTAAGTAACAAATGTGTTTGTAAGTTACATTAACATGATTTTTTTTGTGTCTCTTTCACATTGAAATGCACTGCAATGGGTTGGAACTAGCTTTTGAATAGAACATGCAGTTACAAGCATGCAGGTAACATGCCAAGCAAGGGTCCATCCACTTCAGTAGCCTAACTTAATAATTTTCTCATTTTTAAAAATGACTGATTGTTTAAATGTTGGTGAATAGATTTTTAAGGCCAGAAGGAACCATTGTGATAATTTAGTCTGACCTCCTGCATGACACAGGCCATAGGATTTCCATACATATCATTCCTGCTTCAAGTCCAATAGCTGTAGTAAACAAGAGCATATCTTTTAGAAAAAATCTAACCGTGATTTAAAAATTTTGAGTCATGGAGTGATCTTTCCATTCTAAAATACTGCATGTTCATTACACCATAATATATGGATCTGGATATGTGACTGATCCAGAGCCAACAAAAGTCCATGGGGCTCTTTCTATTGACTCCAAGAGGGTTCGGCTCAGGCATTAGCACATTGACCCCTGCTGAGACTCTCGTACAACGAAACGAATGTCATAATCTGAATGCAGAATGTTTCTACCACATGGATTACAATGTCTTCAACATCCTAACGTCTTATAAAGGAAAAATAACGCAAGCCCCCTGCAGTGCCTCATACCTACACTGAATCAAAGATGGCTTCCAGGGCTAGGACAAGAAGATGCAACACTCTCCCTGCAGAGTTTTGTATGAGGCAACTATTTTGGGGAAACTCAAAGAAATTATAAGCCAACAGTGTGTTAGCACAATGCATTTTTAATCTGAAATGTCTGACGGGTGACTGTTCAAGTCCAACATTTGAGGCAAAGATCATTCTAAACTGGAACAGCAGGTTCTAATCAGGGAGAGAGTAGGAACTTTGGTGGTTTTTTGTTTTTTGGTTTTTTTTTAAGGATTTCTCAGACAGCTTTCCCTCATCTCCCCTTCCACCCTTACAAAAAAAAAAAATGCACAATTTAGCTTTACACAAGTCTAATAACCTAAAAGCAAAGCAGGAAAGCTCTGAATTGCCTTCGCTTCACTCTAACCCTTCCCTCATCTTTGCAATGAAAATGAACTGCAAAAAGTCAATGGGGGAAGAGGGAGAGGCCCCTCTTCAGAAAAACAACCAGAAACTTGGAATATAACGTAGCTAACCCACCCAGCAGAGTATGCATCTCATTCACAAAGCAGAGCTCTCACTCTGCCCAACACATCCTGTCCGACAGAACACCACAGGGGGTTTTATACAAAATATTTTGTCCGCTTATAAGACAGTCAAAGTAAGTGAAGCTCAGTTTCCCCAAGCTAAACCCCAAGTCATGGTGTGCACTAGTGAATCCTCTTTCCCCCTGAATTATAGTAGACTTGTGTACATGACAGGCTACTATCATTTACTATAGTCTAAATCAGGCATACCTGGAAGGCTGCAAGAGGCGACTACATAGGAGCGGAATTGTAGTTCTCTCTTTGCTGGCGAATTGAGTGAGGCATTCGCCACTTGTAAAGGGAATGGAATTAATGAGCAGCAGAGATTGGTATTTGCTCTTTTGTGGTGCATTTGCACTTCCTGGGTCTAGTCCTTCACAAAACATTTCATTTGTACTATAAGGGGCAAAGTAATTTTTGGATAGAGCCCAAAGTGATGAAAAGTTCTAAGACAAGAGCTAGAAAAATAATTAATGAACATTGAGAATGGGGTATAAAAAAGTTTGGAACGTATTTATATTAAAATTCCCAAATCCGCTTATGAGACAGAAAAACTCCCCTAAACTCTCTAAGGTCGTACTAAATATAATTAAGACTATTTCTTAGCATTCACTGCATCCACTAGTCTCAGCATTTTACTTCTGACACGTTTGTAATGGCAGGTTTGACACTTCTAGTTAATATCAGTGTCTGGAATAGAAAGCAGCTCATCTTCATAATACTATACTCACTTCGGACTGAATCCTCTAACAATGAGGCAAAAGACACGAGGAGAAATCCATCTCGCAAGCACCAGTCTCTCTCTAAACATGCACTGGCTGAACATCAGCATAATTGTTTTTGAATGTGGGCGCTTACTAATTGGAACATTATATTATTATTCAGTGAAAAGAGACTGAATTAATGTTACCTCTGTGCATCACCCTGCGGGAGTGCATGTGTTCGACTGCACTGCATAACTGCACAAAATATTTCCACACCGTCCTTTCCGGGATTAACCGTTTCTGCTTTTTAAAATACTGTGGAAGGAAATAAATAAAAGATCAGTGAAGAAGCAAAATATCTGTCTCACTCCTGGACTCATGTTAGTCAGCTGTTGACTGCTCATGTCCACCAGATCAACAGCGGCATGGCTCATCTTCTGATTAGCATTAAACTCCTTCTCTATGTAAACTTCAATACAATTCACTAATTAACAACCACTATGAAAAATATGCTTAAATAGGTTTGACATTTTTGAATGGACACCAATTATAATTAGCATTAATCTCCTTAATTACCTTGCAAAACATATTTAATGCCTCAAAACAACAAATGTCTGGAGTATTTTGCCTTAAGTAACAAAGGATTTTTTTTAAAAACCAACATCTTGTAGATGTTCATCATTAATGTACAATCTATTAACAAAGAAAATCAATTTCTCCATTTTCTTCCCCCAGACGCCCAAAACTACCATGGAATCAACTGGGTATCCCCAATTCCGATGTAATAATATATCCCTAAGAGTTCACACGTAGACATAGACTTTGGGAAAGCCAAACTGTCTCAAAGCAAAAATAAAAACAGATTACAAGGAAGCAAAAATTGAGATTGTAAGCTTTTTGGGACAAAGACTGTCCTATCACGGCTTTGTATAGCACATAGTACAATGGAGTCCCAATCCTTTGGGCCTCTGAGCATTGTTAGAACAGACACAAATTAATAATCATAATCACCACCACCACATAGCACAGCCATAAACTGTCGATACTTCTCTGGAGTAGTTTTACGTGCTATTCCCCAAGATGTAAATAAAGCAAGGCACTGAGTTATCACCAGTATAATCCAGGGCAGACACTGCTGAAATATCCTCGCTAACCATGCACCTCACCCTCTACATCTTTTCTCAAAACTCACTTCTTTGGATTACCTTTCCATTGCTGGCCAGTACTTGACTCTCTTTAGTGACCCTCACTCCAGGCACTAAACCAATTCTTTATTTATACATTTAGTTACAGAACCAATAAGATGCATATAAACCTCAGTTGTTTAATGTTTATTATTGTCATCCTTTGCCATGTAAGGTATAATTTAGAATATAGTGATCTCCTCTGGACAGGCACCTGTGATTTTTCTGATAAGATGTTGTGCACCCTTAGGATGCTATACCATTATATTTGTTTTACATCATACAACTAAGAATTTTCACTAAAAATCTTAAGAGGAGGAAGAAAGGTGCTAGATTGGTTGAAAGATGCCCATCTTGTATTTGTCCCTCTTGATACAGACAGCTGATGCCTGTTGTGACATTCAGCATTTTATATGAAAGTTATCTGAATCAAATAATGGCAAAAATTTATCTTGCAGATCAGCTGTGAAAAGGTGTAACTGTGCAATTCGCCAAAAGGCAAAACTGACAGCTTGCAACAGTTTGAAACCAAAACCTAAGCGTGGAGTGCAGCAGAACTGCGGAGGATGATGGATAAAGTGTTATTTACACCATAATATTAGCTTAATTCTCATTAAAGTATTTAAGTGAAGATATGTTAGACCACAAGTGGTAATTTTCTAAATGTCATGTCCAATAAGATTTGCCTGACATTTACCAGAAAGCCAAAATTCTCCAGTGGGTTATACAGCAACACTCTGTTACATCAGCTTTATAACAGCTCATAAATAATGCAGGCGACAGGGACATGACAAAGACAGTCCCTGTTTTTATCACTCTCACACCTTCAGAGTGTTGTTATTGCTGTTCCTACCGCCTCCCTGAAGCATAAGACTAACATACGTCTAAAACAAGGGGGGATGGGGGGGAGAGAGGAAGGGGGAATCAAACAACTTTATCCATTAATATTTGGATTCTATTTAACCACTACAAAATTCAGATCCTTTTGTTTCAGTACAGGGACCTGGTTGAGTATAATATTCTGGCCTGAGGATTTTCTCAACAAGATCACTAAGCAGAGCTGGTTCTAGCTTTTTGCTCGAGTGGTGTTTGCTATCCTATGAAAGAGACAACCAGAGTTCTTTACCTATTCTACAATGGTGCAGGCTGGTAATCATGACGATCCTAATGCCAACTACACTATCATTTAAATAGACTCTTCCATTTTTCATCCTTGTTTGCATTTAATTTTTGCATACATCAAAATTCTATCTACAGGTTTGTCACAAATGAAAACACACTATTTGTATCATGGGGAGGTGGGACAGGAATCAATGCCCCTTTCCTTTTACAATTATTTTGGGAAACAGGCAAGTCCATAAAGTATTTACTAGTTATAGCATCACAGTCTTGTCCAAGTTATCAAACTAAGGGCAGATCTGCACTACCGCTTAAGTTGATGTAACTTACCGTCATTCAGAGGTGTGAAAAAGACTCCCCCTTGAACAACGCAAGTCACAGCGACCTAAGCGCTGGCCACACCAGTGCAATGTCAGCGGGAGATCCCCTCCCGCCAACATAGCTTCTGCCTCTCATGGTGGTGCAGTAATTATGCCAACAGGAGAGCGCTCTCCTGTCAGCACAGAATGTCTTCACCAGACTCGCTACAGCGGCGCAGCTGCATCGGGGCAACTGTGCCAATGTAGCGCTTCTAGTGTAGACCTGCCCTTAGAATCACCAAAATTAATTTTTAGAGAAAGACATCAAACTCGAAGTAAAAAATATTAAAAGCTGAAATTATCAATCCTGAATGGTACATTTGTTTTTATTACATTTATGAAAAGCTCATTTAAGCCAAAACGTGAAATTTCTTCATCAGATACAATAATATTTTAAAATTGTGTAAGCACTACTTTTTTCAACTAAGCAAACTCTACTCAAAGATTTACACAGGAGCATGGTCACTAGGGTAACCAGATGTCCCGATTTTATAGGGACAGTCCCGATTTTGGGGCCTTTTTCTTATATAGGCTCCTATTACCCCCCCACCCCGTCCCAATTTTTCACATTTGCTGTCTGGTCACCCTAATGGTCACTGCCCCCAACACTTGCTTTCAGAATGGTTCTTTTCTTTCCTCAAATCTTTAAATGCAAGTACTGAAAAGCCTCTGATCAATCTGGATGTTTTCTGGGGTCTCTTGGGAGAAGGAGCAACATGCAGTAAACAGCAACAATGCAATGTTAAAAGTATATGCAAGATGAAACAATAAACATGAGCTCCCCTCAAGGGCCTGACTTCCTCCCTGCTCTTTGTAGGTTAGCATATTCAGGAAGTAATATCTCCCTTAGCACAGGTCATTGCTTGAAACAGTCTTCAGCATGAGAGGTACACTAGCTGCTAGCGTTACCATCCACATATACTTTGAGTCACCATCAGCGAATTCAGGTTTATAGATGTTAACAGCATTAACTGTTTGTGGATAAAAGCAATGGCTGAAAACTTTAGGCCGTCCCCCCAAAACTCTCTACCATAGGTTTATTTCCAGCCCCCACTCCCCTTGATGAAGCAAATTCCTTCTCTGAAACGGAGATTTTCAATGCACTGTAAATGTAGCCACTAACTATGGGCTAAATGGCTAACTTGTTTGACAGCCTTTGGCCTGGTGCCTCATAGCTGAGCTGACAGAGAAAACAAATCTGTTAATCAGGTATTTTAGCTGTGACAACAAGGAGGAGGTGAACTTTCCGAAATGTTCATTTATGATAATTACAGAATAATGATGGCAAAAACAGGTAAAATATGGAGAGAAGGTTAAGAGTGCTAACAAACATGATATACCACATCTGTTCTCACAGGGGATGTATGTCTAAAGATTAACATGTCAAAGAAAATACAAAAGCAGGTGATAACAGCTTAACTAAAGCTGGTTCCAACAATATAAGTATTCCTAAGAGCTACATCAGAGAAGAGAAAACACTTGAAAATTTTCTCAATCCTAAATCCCTGTTGTGAAGGAAACTCAATATACTTTTTGAAATGTCTTAAATGTAGCAGACAAGCTACGTGGCTAGTTACCCTACAATAATTAAACGTGCCTATGAATCAGAGACCGGGTAAACCAGCCTTGCAAAATTATACATACTCACTTGCTATGAGTGAATACTGTTTTTTGACAAAACATTTGTTCTTTCTTCATTATCTATCCTCATGGTAAAAGGTAGGTTTTTTGAATGGGCTAGTAAATTTTTAAGCAAGTTTTGCAAGGCTTGCATGTCCTAGGGCAGAATCCAGGTCCATACTGATGTTGCTTAGAATTAGAATGGATGAGGAAATAGATCTGCAAGGCTACAGTGTAGAGAACCCCAGTTCACGTAGGGCATTCAAGACTCCTAAATTCCCGGGGGAGAGGGCAAGCCCACCTTCCTTCATAAAACAACTATGGAAACAAAGGTCAGAGAGAGGCAGCTCAGGAAGGGGAAAAGGAGCAAAGGAACATGAAAAAAGCGGAGACAGACAGTTAAAGAGAAAGCTGATTTGAGAGAAGTGAGGGGAAAAAACCATAAGAATATTCAGGATCATGGGACTAGAATAAACTATAACAAGAATGCAGTAAAGAGCAAACCAGCACTAATGGAGGAGTAAGATTCATAGTCTAATGAAATTCTTGTAAGTTCAAAACGTACTTGTGCCTTCCCCAGTAGGGCACTAATGCAATAAAATACAGATTGGGAGAGGAGGAGAAATGCAGGATAAGACAGGTTGGGAGATTCTACCAATCAGAAGAAGCCAAAGATTATAAACATTCTCAAAAGAAAGATGTCTATTCAGAAAGATCACAAGGGGTGACAGTAAGTGCAGGACAAACTTCAGACACACTAAAAGAACCTATACATTCTTAACCAGTTTTCATATTCCACGCTCTAATTAAAAGCCCAAAGACAATAATGGCATAAACATGGTAAATGGCTGATGAACTAATATGTTAGATCCCTGTGAAAAATTGAGTGGGGTCATGGGACTCTGTATAAAACTTCCAAGTAGGAAGCCTTTAGGGAAATGTGTCTAATCCCAAAAGGAATTTCCCCTCTTACAAATCTTTTTTTCCCCTCTTGCCAAACACACCAGGTTCACCTCTCCTCCTCCTTCCCTTTCTTTTTGTTCTTGTATGTACACAGAGGTAGAGAGAGAAGGAAGGCTACAACAAATATGCTAGCTTTGCATTTTGTTCCACAGCCAGTAAAGGCTGGTGACAATTCTGGTGTGTTCCAAGAGTAAATTCTGAAGCCATGCACTAGACTCCGAGAAAGCACCATCTCCCACGCTCACAAGTTACACAAAATAAAGAGAAGGAAGGCTCTAGTAATATTGCAGACTGGAAGGACGTGTATCCTGACTTGCCTTTTTTTTTTGCTCTCCATAATAAATCTCTGAAGTTACATCAGCTAGAATAAAAATTACCAACGTCATCAGTCCTCATGCTCCTAATTTAAAAAATAAAAAAGCATGAGAACTGTCCGGATTCCGTTCCTCCTTTCCTTTTTGTCGTATTTTCATTTTACATATTTAAGGAATCATCAAATGAACAACCCACATTTCAAGTTTCCATAAGATTTTCAGACTTAAAATGATTCCTCACATTTTTTAATCAGAATTGGAAATCACTTTTACTTATTCTCTAAAATTCTAGTGAACATCCATTCCAAGCATTCACAGTGCTTTTTTTTTTTTTTTTTTTTTTTTTTTTTTTTTTTTTTTTTTTTTTTAATAGTTTTTCTATATTTTCTTGTATTATGTCACTTTGTAGGGTTTATTCTTTGGTTTGTTTTTGTTTTCAATTAGGAAATAGTTCTGGTTTTGAGCTTGTTGAAATTTTCATTGAAATGACCTCCTGCATGTAAGCAAGCAAGCGGGGTATCGGGCCCCAAGTTTCTAGTACAGATCTGCTTGTATCTGTCCCCTAAACTTCCAGAATAAATGTGACACCCCTATTTTGCCTCAAGAATTGGTGTGTCCTTACCTTAATCATCTGAGAGAGATCACCTGCATCTGCCAGTTCCAGGACAATGTTCAGTTCATTGTCTTCAATAAAAGAATCCAAATACTTAATTATATTGGGGTGGTTCAGTTGCTGCAGAGAGAGAGAGAGAGAGAGAGAGAGAGGGCACGCAAAGTGAATGTACATTACATGAAAGGTGCTTCAGTAATAATGACTCAAAATATACTGCCCATCAGTGTTCATTCCTGTAATTGTTCCACAGCAGTGTCCTTAACAAAAGACAAGGCTATGGCATTTGCTGTGTGTCCATATACACACAAGGATGTGTGGTGAAACACAATTCAGATTATATCTCATATGCGTACCAGGCAAAAGAGAAAGCCAAGCAGTCTTTTGTAAGGAGCAATTAGTTCCATAGTTGAAGTCAAATGGTCTATTCTGTTGTATGTTCAGATAATCAGGGTTTAAAATCATGATCTTGGGAGAAACTTGGTCTGAGCTACAATTAGTAGGATTTCATTTTTTATTTTTTTAAATTAATATCAAGCCCCACCACACTACTGAGATGTTTGTTATAGTAGAGCTTCAAATCCCCATTCAGGATCGGTGTACCATCTTGCTAGGTGCTTTACAAACATACAGGCAGACATTCTCCCTGCCACCAAAAAATACGAAGGGCAGGGGAAGGTCTACAACGGGGGTAGTCAACAGGTGGACCGCAGGCCACATCTGGATCACCAGACACTTTTGAACGGACCCCAAAATCTTTTTTATTTACTTATCATCGTTGGTTTTTTTATTATTTATTTCTTTTCTCTGGAGTCTTGACCTTGACCAAAAATTTGGACCTTGCCAAAAAATAACTGACTATCCCGGACTACAACATACAGATTACATACTGCTTGTTAGTTCTGGCTTTCTCTTTTAAAGCCGTATTTATGGTTAAATCTTGATTAATTTAAAAAACAAAATTTGACCAATGCCTCTATCAGGTCTATATTTTTGCATTTAATCCTAGCTTTTTTCTGTTGATTTATAATTAACTCTAGAATATGGAAAATCTTGCCTTTTTCTAATGTTTGTTATATTTTACAATACCCTTCCCTTTTTCTATTTGTTAAAAAATATTTTTAATCCTTGCCTATTATTTTAGGGTATTTAACCCATAGCATTATTTTAAAAATTTTAACCCTTACCATTTTCAAAATATATTCAATCCTAGTCTTTTCATTTATTTACAAATTATTTTTACATTTATACTTCTTTAGTAACCCTTGCCATTTTAAAAGTATATATCTAATCCCAGTTTTATCTATCAATATTAAAAAAAATTAAGTCTTGCCTTTTTTTTTTAATTTAACCTTAGGCTTTTACTGTGTTTGTATTTACTCAGAGCCTTTTCTATTTAATAACTATTTAAAAAAAAATTTAATGTACAGATCTTTTTCAGAAGAGACAGTAAAACAACTGCAGATTTAAACAGTTATTATTTAGCTCATGGAGGGCGAAAAGAGCAACTTGGATCCCATTTCAGACCTTTTTGCCTATACAGGATATTGAATAAACCTAGTGAAATATTAATTTTGCCACAATTAGTTAAAGATTTGCTATGATCACTACAGAGAAGGTGCCGAACCTACAAACACTTGTGCAGGTGCCCACATTTATCCATGTGAGTACTACCACTGACTTGAGTGATGCCAATTACCACCAAGATCATTTTGGGTTAAATGTGCGGCTAGATGTAGCTACTACATGAACCACTTGTACTGTAGCATTAATGTGTTCACTGCCACCACTGTGTTCCTTAGAAAGTACAGCACATGAGAAAGTGGGCTCCTTCAGAAATCATTTTTGCCCTACATGTTTTACAAAAATCTGCATCTTCTGGGATGCAAAGATGGAATCAGTATCAGAAAAGCTGGCTGTTTGAAATTCTTGCATACCTGACACTGAAGATTATTATGTAGACAATTCTGCAGGAGAAGCTCCTAACTAACAAAATACCTAGTCAAAAGTAGCTCTTTAATAGAAGGAAAGATTACAAACTCTGAAAAGCCAAGTGTGGACTGGAAATGTGTGAATTCTAGGCTTTCCAAACAATTTTGATACTGTACCCTAAGTTATGGGAAAACTTCTCCAAAAACTTTGAGAACTGATACATGAGATGCATCCATCTACAATGAAAGGAATACAGAATCCCAATGCATGCGTCTGGAAATATAGGAAGCATCATTATCGTTTCTGTCTAATCCTAAAGGAAGTAGGTGACACTGCTTCCAAAAGACAACAAAATCTAGTTTCCACATGACCCCAGCCCTATGCATCAGGCCCAGCAGAAGGAAGCCACCATATTGTTGCATGCGCAGTATTATTCATGAGGAAGTGTATATTACCTGAGACACTGATTCTGCTGAGTTTCAACTGGAAATTATTCTTTAAATGCAGTTAATCCTGCCTTAGCATGGGGGGCTAGACTAGATGACTTCCAGAGGTCCCTTCCAGACCTACATTTATATGATTCTACCTACTGTTCCCTAAAGTCTTGAAAGAAGAGATATCACTTGCCTGTATTCCATTTCTATGGCAGGACAATGATGAATTTCAGGGGTATTCCCATCATTTGCCACCTTATAGTAGACAAGCGCACCATCTATTCTGTGTAGTTGAGTGCTTTGGCTTTTTTTTTTTTAATATTATAATATAATATAATATAACAATTATATTATAGTTGTTAATCCAGATTTCACTTATTTAAATAGCTTTTGTTTTTATAAAGTGCAGCATGAGAGGATTTGTACACTAATATATACTATAATATTTTCTCTTGTTTTCTGGTCTTGTTATGCATTATTCCCAGGACTAAATTAAGAAACAAAAGATATTACAATTTCTGTTTTAATATTTTAATGTCTGATTCTCCTAACAAAACTGACAACTGTAATTACTTGGAACATACTGTATGTATCTTGATTTCTGTACTCTGTCTCTCTCTCTCTTTGCCTCGTTCTGAATTGCATTTCTCTATTTTGTAAGCCTAAAGTCCAATAAAAATAAATTTAAAAAATAAAAAATGGGCATTTCATCCAGCAGACAGTAGTGACTCCTGTGTGTCTATTTCACGGGTTACTGAGCCGACAGAAACACTGTTATAACCCACCATGTTAATCACTCTGCTCTGCATGCACATTAGGCAATAGATTCTCCTTTGCAATGCCTGGACACTAACTCACATTAGTGTTAATGGGATTCATGTGTAGGCATCAAGAGAAGAATATTCCCACAAGGCTGAACTTAAAAAAAAATCAAAACAGTCAAGACATTTCAACTGAATATTTTAAAAAATGTCTTCCTTCAGGTGTGCTGATCTACTGCCCTTCCAGCCGAAGAGGTTCAGATGTTCCCTGCAGACATTGCTCTCCACCCAATACTGGTGTCAGGTGCATCCTCTGCAGGCTTCCCAGGACCTGCCAGGCTTGTCTGTGAACTTGCCTCCCAGTAGTGTCTGAAGGCTCAGCAAGCTTGGCACATGAACTCTCTCCAAGCAACCTATGTCTTAGTCTTTTGATTAACACCTTAAAACTTTTTTTAAAAAATATATCTATGTTGAGATTAACTTCTACCCTTGTGGGTGGGTCTCCCACGATTCCCCCTTTTCACCTCTGTTACCAGCAGCAGGAGCTGAATACCAATCCCTCTAGAGTCCGTTAAAGCTGTTCCCATAGAGCTAACCGGCAAAGTTCCTTACTCCACCACCCAGCACATCAGACCAGACCAGCCACCAACATATGGAGATTGTATAGAGGGATTTGTTTAAAAAAAAAAAAAAAAAAGACACCTTATTCCCCACACCTCTGAACCCCACTACCCCAGAACATCCAGTGAAGTCACACTGGTTTTATAAAAGACTTGACTGAAGCGGAGATCCTGCCCCCCTCTCCACCCCCCGTACCCCCAACGCTTGTGCATGCACGTGGCAGGGAAGCGATGCGGGAGGTTACTGGAAATTTCTAATCTTTTGACAGAAGGAAACTGCATAACCTTAATTCTCACCAATCTTTAAACGCACAAACAGCACAAAATGCCCTAGCTCGGGTTATTGACATTTTCTCATTTCTTTAATGCAACCTAAAAGTTTGATGGCAGTTAATGCCTGATGTGTATGCACAGCAATGCTGTCAGCAAGAGGCATGCAGAAGAGCAAGTCATCTCCAAATGAGCGAGCATGTTGGCTCCCTGCTGCTGATTACAGCCATATTACTGAGCTGTTTTACCCCTCTCTTTTTACTAGGCTGGTTTTTAATGGGGTATTCTATTTTTTGCAGTTCCAGTGAAGTTTTTATTACCTCCCAAATGCACAAGTTTTTCCAATTAATCTACTAAGCACAAAACAACATTTATTTCTGTAGCCATACAGGAATTTTGGATCAAAAGAAAGCAGAGGCAAAGCATCATTTTGACACAGATTCACTACAGCAAGCCTGTCCAGTTCCTTCAACAACAAAAAATGTATGGAGTCTAACTTGGTAGATTAAAAAATTGGGTAAATTGTTTTAATTTGCAGTTTACACAGAAATTATTCTAGACTTTGGAGTGAGGCGGTAACTTAGCATACAACAGTAGATATCATGGGACAAAATTCACAAATATAAGTATCCAAACTGATTACTTGGCTAAGCTCCAGATAAAACATACAGTTAGACATTTATTATATATCAGTAAACCCCCTAGTAGTACACTGACTTGAATTGGACTTAGCACATGTTTAAGTAGTTTGCTGAATCCATTACCCTTAGACACTTTAAACTTTTTATTTAAGATAAAAGGAACAATTGCCGTTCTCAAAACTAATATAATAGTTAAAGGACAGAATGTATTCATTTTTACATAATATTGTTATATTGGGAGCTGGGGTGTTCACATGGATATTGTGTGTTAAGTTACTCATTTAAAAAATAGTATTGACTTTGTTGAAATGTATTGCACACTAATCTAATAAAAACAATTATGGACAGTTTTTGTTAAAAATGGAAAAAAGTTTAAAAGAAAAAATTCCAGGGAAATTCTTCATGCCATGCCAAGGGAGATCACATGTCTTCTGCAACACAAACTGGAGTCACGCTGTTAAAACCTTACTCCTCTCTCAGAACATGGACTCGCTCTGCCTAATGCCTTACGTGTAGAAACATCCACTACACCGTCCTCAAATTGTACTGCAAAGCACAATACACCAATGTCAAGTTTTGAAATGTGAAATACTACTTTTTCTAAGAACCACCTCTGTGACTCTGTAAAATGGCCTTCAGTTATTTATACGTAGCTGTAAGAACAGCCAGCATGGGAGCTATCAATTAACAAGAGATGAGTTGCAAATATTGATTTGACAAGTTATTAGCTTTACAGCACTGAGTGAGATGCATTCCAGTTGCTGACACTGACAGACGTACTGAAGCTGGCCTCTTAAAATCCTCCCTAGTCTCTAAACAAAACCTTGAACAACTCTGCCTCACAGCCTTTTGGGAATATAACTTGCCTCTGCATCAAATTATCAAAAAATGCTGACCTGTACAATGTCATTAAAAACTGCTTCTCAAGTTGACATTTAGAACTTTGATTACTCTTAGTTGTGATTTGTTCAGTTTCTCAGAAGCTGACTTATATACATCGTGGGTAAAATCCGTCATATTTTGTTTGATCTTTCATTTGAAAACTAATATACATTTGAAAGAAGTGCCCTATCGGCAGTATCAACTAATATATCCCTTGTGCATTTGCAATACAATATGATTTATCAAACTGACTTTTTAAACCATACTTTGAGCTCCAGCTTATTTGATGGGGCTATGTAAGTGTTCAACCAGCAACGGTTGTTCATAGCACAGCACGATTATTCTTTACTGCATTTTTCAACCAGGAATTTATATTGTCAAGACAGGATAGAGACTTATGACAGTAATGCTTAAAGCTCCCCAATTCACAGTCGTTTTATGTAGCAAATAACTAAAAAACACAACTCAAAGTATGTTGTCATAGGGCAATAAATAAGGATCAAAATGCAAAAACCTTGGGAGGCTACAGCATCTCCTGAAAAGGAAAAGGAAAAAATAATTTAAAAAGAAATTCCCTGCATTACTAAGGCTGTGATTTTTAAAATGAAAAAATTTTAAGTTTCTTATTTGTCACCACTTATGCAATTTGTGTATGTTCTGCATTTCATTCAGATAGGAGAGTGATCATCAAAGATCCACCTTCACTTTTTTCTAGTCAGTTTCACTTCCTGTTTCTCATACACAAGTACAATGCTGAAATGCTTGAGTTGCAAACATTGAAGGAGAATGGTTGATGTTAAAGAAAAAAAATTGGTTTAATTTGAAATACTTATAATACTTTTCAAAAATACATTCACTGAGCCCTATTAGTACATTTGCACATAAGCAGGGTATACCTACCCATTGTTCCTACAAGTTTCAATGTAAAATGGACAGAAAAGTCAATTCAGATACAAAATATCAATTGGACTAGATTAATTTCCAACCTCAAAGTGGTACAGATTTTATTTATTTTTTGAGTAAACATTTTTTTTTAAAATCAACTGCTACATTTTGGGCTTAAGTGAGTGGGCAACCCCTCTACAACAGAGATTTCAACTCTCTGATTTTCATCAGAAAAATCTCATTCCTAGCTGGCTTAGAGTGAGTAAAGACACATATTAATTTATCCTGGCAGGATTACTAAAACTTCAGAAATACTTAAGGTAAAATTTAACATTATCCTAAAAAAAATAAAAACCTGGAAAAATGACGCAGTTAAAGTTTTGCATAAAGATAAGTGACATGTTAGCATAAGTTACTATGGATTCCAAGCTAAAATAGCTTTTTCTTCATAAAAATATGTATCTTGGGTAATGTATGCATCTGTGGAATATGAGTTGGTAATATTTTCAAATAAATCAATTCAATTTAAAAAAACAAAATACGAACTAGTAATGAATCTAGTCTACTTGTATAACCGGAGCCAATCTACTACTGGGATGAAGTTCCAGCTATGGAAGAAGGATCATAAACTAAGTCACTGTGGCCTATGATTTACAAAAGTGGCACATTTGCTGCTATTTGGAAGATAGCTGTCCCGTTTTTCAGGACACACCATGACTTGCTTGATCTTGAACCTGTAAAGCTGCCCAACTTAAACATGCTGGCTGAGTTACAGCCTGATCCAACTCCCATTGACCTCAAAGGGATTTGGAACAGGCCCTCAGTTCTGCCAGTTGACGCTATGTATAGCAAGAGATACTTGGGAGAACAAGAAGAGTCAAAGAGCTAAGAATGGAGGAAATTATATGTAGAAATATATATTTAATTAATTATATATTTTAAAAGCAATACAGTAGATGGGGAAGTGCTAATTATCCCACCATATCATACCATCTCTTACTGCTCTTTTCACAACCCAGACAGTACAGTATTCACAGCTTGACATCTGGCTCCTTGGTGAGCTTTACACAGGAAGATTTGGAGTTGCCTCTGGTCATCTCATATGGTTAGGATGATAATTGACTGTCTATGAGCCCTTGTCATCTTGGATATTTTATTTTCACTCACCTTTGATTCTGATAAATTTGCACATACTGTCCTGAATAAGTCCAGTGCAAACATATGACAGTGCCCCACAACTAAATAATCTTTCTGTAAGATTCCACATCTGAATTGCCAGGATCCAAAATTCTCTTGGTGAATAGTAAGTTTGGCATTATTTTCTTTTTCATTACAAACTCTTTAGCAGGTAGACTAAGCGCACACAAACAGCTTTGATATAATTCTAACTATATGTCCATACCATACAACTGCCACAGGCTGACCAGACTTTCACCTACAGTAGTATCATGATATCTGATATTCATCAGAGGAAGAGCTAATTCCGATTGCTACACTAACATTCCATTTTGCATATGTAAAGAGAGATGCAATAAGATGGCTTCCGGTTGGATAAGCTCTTGTATGAATTCCAGCTGTTACCACCATGAAGCGAATGAGGGATGTTCTCCTCTGGCCATCACTTTGTGTATACACAAACTCACACCAATAGCCGTAATCCATCCCTGCCAGCAGGTGCTTTGGAAAGGTAGACCCTTGTACATTAACTCAAATCAAACTATGAAACTCATCCTTGTCATGAAAGAACAGCAACAACAGTATGATCCAATTGCAGGAACCGAAGCTGGGTGTTTCTTACCAGAGGTTACATACAAAGTCTATTGAGTGTAAACTAACTGATTAATGAACCACTTCCCAACGTCGGGAGTGCCAGGAGGGGCAAGTTGCACTGATACTCTCCTGCCACCAATTTGCAAACTTTATTTTGTTCATCACCTACTGGCAGAGCCTGTCTCCTTGGGCCAAAATAGCATGCAGTGTCTGCGGCATATTTAAATTTGTTCAGTCCTCTATTACTGTAGAGAAAAAGAGGGATGCGTGTACTGTGGAAACAACCCATACATCGTCAGCACTTAAATAACCCCAGTTCACACATGACATGTGGACTCAAATACATAGAAATGCACATGCACTCTGGCCAAAACCTGGCCAGCAGGTGATGCATAATCACTTTTAAGAAAAAATACTTCCCAGCCAATGCCCCTGCCATGCTGTGTGCAAGATCTGTGGAGGAGAAAAGAGATACTTGTGCATAAGGCAAAAAGGAGCAGAATGGATACCCTAGAGCTCTAAAGGGCAGAAAACTACAAAGAACCAAGAGGTGGGCGAAAAGGCATGTATTGCACAAAACTGCTATGGAAACTAGTTAGATAAAACACCCTGCAACCAAAGAGAGGTCCACTGCAAAGTTCCAGACAGGAATTGTAAATATATGTCATCTTACTTGATTTGCCACCCAACACAAATAGTAATCTGCCTGCACGGACATAAAACAAAATATTCTCAAACATGAAAAAGTAAAAATAAGCCACTGTAGAAATTCTTACCTTCAAAAGGTCAATTTCTTTAATACAATCCTGTCTGGCCTTGGCATCCATCATTTCAAATATCTTCAACACAAGACAAAAGTGAAATATTAAATAAATAATAATAATGAGGCAAGAAAGCAGATAAGCTCTACTCATTTTAAACCAGCATTGGTTTTCTTTCCCTTCCTTAACTTAATGAAAGTAAGGGCCCTATTGCAGTCACCAGACTTGCATCTGGTTGACATATTCTTTGTTTTAAAACCACTACAAACTAGGAAGCAGCAAAATTAACATTAGCACCTTTTGGCAACATGCTAAATGGTGGGGGAAATGAGATTTTAGTTTGTAGATGTTTTGCCTATTTTGTGACCTTAAAAAAAACAGTTACTTAATTTAACACCGTTTTCACATTGTGCGTGAAATATTTTATATATATATATTTCTATTCTCTCTTTAAACAATTCAGAATTGTTCTTCCTCTCAGAGATTCCCATCCATTAATTAAGAGTAATTAGCGTTAATATTCATTCTCTAATAAGCAGAGAGCAAGTCACTGGTAATAGGAATTTAAAAGATACGTTGAAGGATTAAAGGCAAATTTCTTCAAGAAAAACACTGTTCTGAACACTGTATGGTATTTTAATCCAAGTTTGTAATATATTTGTGTGCCGCATCTTCAGAATTTTGTTTTAAATAATATAACTAATTATAGTAGAAAGAAAACTAATTTCTTTTTATTTAATTGTGTTCCACCAATGAAAGTCTGGCCACTGAATATCTTTGTTCATAATGTCAGCTGCTCCTCTACTTCTAGATACTAATGACTCAGATGAGAAGAGCAGTGAGCCATCGTTTCCATCTCTAACTTTATGTCCTCAACCATCTGTCTCTTATCAGTCATCCAGCCTTTCATCACACTCAATATTCTCATATGATAGTCCATGTCAAGATGCCAGATCCTTAATTTTATGGCTATGCCCATTAAAACCTTTGTTTTTATACATATTATCAATCAAAAACGAAATGGCCATATTCTAATAAAAAAATAAAGGAAAATTAAAAGTAGTATGAAATGACAATCCTTTTTACACTGGTGATACTGGAAGTGTCTAGCCATTCCTAGATGCAATGGTCACAAGGGATCAAGATTAGGCAGCACAAACACATTAACTCAAATCTGGTCAAGATGGAAGCTGGATTTGTCCGCCCTATGTGGAATAACTGAAGAAGGCAATTAGGAGGAGGAAGCAGAGAGTCAGGGCTTGGGTTCTATTCCCAGTTTATACCACTGACTCACTGTGTGACTAACTAGATCAGTTAACCTCTGTCTTCATGTATCCATCTGTAAAATGGGTATGATAGTATTCACATACCTCAAATAGGCCTTATCCTTCTTAATTAGTGTTTATGAAACTGAACCTTTCAAACCTTTCAAACCTTTCAAAGGTGTTGCTCTATATGGGAGCTAAAAATAACTAATGTTTATGACAGCAATTAAGGACAAAAGGACTTCCAAAACAGCTTTCTGCTCCTCGGTTTATTTCCACCGGTGAGAGAATTCTCAAGGGGAAGCAAACACTTCACCTGTAACATCTGTGCAAAGTAAGCAGACATCTCAGAAATCTTCCTTTTACCTGCAATACAATAAGCTACAATTTTAAACACTCACCTGAACTTTCTTTAACGCCACGGTTTTTCTGTCCAGAAGGCAAGTTGCTTTGTAGACTTCACTGAATTGCCCACGGCCAATCTTTTTCTCTATCTGAAAATCTGCCAAGGTGCAGCGATATGGATATGACGTCAAATGCCTCTGCTTATTCAAAAGAAATAAAAACAGCCATTGAACTAGACAAACTGACAAAAACATGAGCTGGTATTTCTCCATCCCTCTCCTTTTCTCACTCACAGACAGCTCCTTCAATGACTTGATAATCACAGTAAGTATTGCACCTAAGCAATCTACAGGGGAGCATGAAAAGCCAGAAGGCCAAAAAACCCTCTGCTTTATGGAAATGGGCTGCATTTCTCTCTTCAATCACAACTTCCCCTTTCTGCTTCAGGCCACTTACAGGTCAAACCACCTTGCACCAGAGTACTGAACAGTGAATATTCAGTGCCATTAAAAAAAAACCCAGCATAGATCCATGAAGTCCCACAAAATGTATCTGTTTACAAAAATAAACTGTTCGTGGAATCAAATGGATCGACTACATATTAAAACAAACAGATCCCCCAAATAGTTGACAAGATTGTTTTAAAGGCCAATAGGTATAAGCAACATACACTTTCAGGTCAAATTAAATAAAAACGGTCAACTTATCTAATACTTCATTTGAGGATGCAAGAATTTCAATTCTTCCGTAGTAACTGCAGCAACAAAATTTGCATTCCATAACACTGGCAAACATTTTCACTTCTTATGCATTTCTGTGTATTACCCATTTAAAAATATTACCCATAGAAAACCCAAACATAAATCTGAGCACATTAGTTAACCCTAATGATTACAGAACAATTGCACAGAAAGAAGCAAGTTTAAAACTGTAAACATGTGAATACTTTTGGTCTTATTTCTGATGTGCAAAGAACTGAACCTAGGCCGATTGATCTAGGGACACATTTATCTGTCAATATATTCATTTTCAGTCTAATTCCACTGATGTTACTAGTGCATCTAGTTTAGTTTGTTAAAATAAGGAAAAAAGGAAATAAAGAGAGTGCTGGTCTCCTGTGTAAATAACTAATTAGGCCCAAACTGCTGTCTCCCCAGTTACTTGCCCTCAAATCAACTTTGCATATTATTTTCACCAGGGACAGATTGAAGCCTACTTTTGAGCAGTCTCAGGTAAATATGTGGTTAGGCAGGTATACACAGTATAACAAGCATTATGTACGCCACAGACCAGGAACTACTCCCTAGAGCCATTCTGGTCTCTTCCATAATTAACATGAGCGCTAACCAATGTTTAAGAACTAAATTAATGACTAAAAGTTGCTGTGCATGCCAAGTACAGTATTTTTAAGCTTCAATATCTTAAGCCATTTTTGAGTTGTTATAACAAAATAAAAAAAAAAATTAGACCAGTTTGTAAATCAATCCTTTGTAAACTTTCATTCTTTAAATATAAATTATTTACAATTGAGGCCCTAGTTGACAATCCCAGCAAAGGTGCCCAGGATTGAACAGGATATGGAAACTGTACATTTTGATACATTTGAAAATAAAGGAAAATTAAAAGTAGTATGAAATGACAATCCTTTTATAATTGGAAGTGTCTACCCATTCCTAGATGCAATGGTCACAAGGGATCAAGATTAGGCAGCACAAACACATTAACTCAAATCTGGTCAAGATGGAAGCTGGATTTGTCTGCCCTATGTGGAATAACTGAAGAAGGCAATTAGGAGGAGGAAGCAGAGAGTCGGGGCTTGGGTTCTACTCCCAGTTTATACCACTGACTCACTGTGTGACTAACTAAATCAGTTAACCTCTGTCTTCATGTATCCATCTGTAAAATGGGTATGATAATACTCACATATCTCAAATATGGATATGGAAACTGAGAAGTCAGTCCTACCTACTATTGCCATGGCCTAACCTCTTCTGTGGATAATGCATATCAGTCCAGTACCTCTCACTAGCACTATGTTCATGGCAGTATAGAATCTCTTTGGACTTTATATTTGTTGACAAGTCAGATTACACTTCCTTCTTTGCAACATCAGCAGAAATAAAAGTTACTAAAATATACAACTTAACAATAAATTTTTTTTTTCAAAACCTTCCAGGTTTATAGCTGTTTGCCCAATTCTGAACTATAACCAAAAATAATGAAAATATCTTGCTGGCAGAGGCTTTGTGACCAAGATCATATATTCCTCACACAAAACATTGTAAAAACTCCATGTTCCTCAGCTGGAATTTTTGAGATACCTGAGCTAAGAGATTGCTGAGCATTACAGTTTGTACAGCAAAGTCAAACCATTTTCAGGAACTACCATCACCTTGACAAATACAGAACAACAACAGTGGAATGCTATTCCACTGGAGCTGTAGGGAAGATGAAAGGACAGGTTGTATTAAAGACTATGATATACAAAATATAATTCTGTATAATAAATTGTCAATTAAAAGACTATCCAGTCCTTTCATCCTTTGTCCCCTTTTCCCAATGTCACTTTGTAGCTGGCAATATGTTTTGTTGCTACACCTTCTAATACATACCTAAACTACTTCCCCATCAGTCGTTCCAGGGATTGCTAAATGAGGATTAAAATCTAGGATAATTCTCAAAAGACTACACCATTTGTGAAATATACATATGGGTGGTTATGAATTCCAGCCAAGATGAAAATATCACAATACTATAAGGTTCAGTCAAAGTCTCCTAATGCAAGTAGGCACATGGTTGTGAATTTAACTCCAGGTCATCTTCATCAACTTTCCCAGTTTAAGTGCCCTAAAAGAGCAAAAACACTCATCTTCCCATAAAGTGACACTCACAGTAATTGTTTTTGAAACATCAAAGCCAAGGGTGAATTTTTCCACCCCCAGAACACCTAAACTATCTGAAACTGATTTTATTACTCTGGGCTGAAGAACCACAATTAGAATTTTAACTCAAGTACAATAATTTATACAAACAATTAGGTTAATTAACGACTGGCATTTAGTTAAAAAAGGTCAGTCACGTGGAAATCGGAAGCTAATTACAGGGTATGTTTTCTTTTAACCCTTATATTCTATGGCTTCATTTCTTTCCCTTCCCAAAAATTTGTACTTCTATGGAACGCAGTGTGCTCTCCCACCATACTCCTCATGTGGGTTGTGATCAAAATGTTTGTTTTATTCAATAAGATGAACAGGCTTATCAAGAGTTTTGCTGTGTCATATCATGTTTACAGGTTAGAATGCACTGCTATTAAAATTATAACAATGATTCAGGGCAAGTTTCTCCTCTACAGTGCTGCACTGCATATTCTACACTTGTAGAGCAGTAGAACTTTCACCGATACTGTTTGGAGAAGAGAGTTTTGGCCTAAGGTTTGTCAGATATGTAACACAATATTTATGCAACAGCTGCTTCAGCATCCTATGAAGTATTGTTTCAGTTACTCATTATAAATCTAAAAATCTCTACTAATATTAGGAGCAATGGGAGGTTGTATAGAGTGAACTATACTAGCCAACATTCAGATTCCAGAGCCACGGCAACTCTTTAAATTTATTTTCTATGGGATCATAGTATGAGAATTCTAATTCTACTCCATAGAGCAGGGGTGGGCAAACCATGGCACGTGGGCCACATCTGACCCGCGGGACCGTCCTGCCCGGTCCCCGAGCTCCTGGCCCCGGAGGCTAGCCCCCAGCCCCTCCCCTGACCCGGTCTCTGTGCTGTGTGGTGGTGGCGGCGCGGTAAGGGGGCCGGGGGGTTGGATAGAGGGCAGGGGAGTTTGGGGTGGTGGTCAGGGGGGAAAAAGGGGGTTGAATGGGGGCAGGGATCCCAGAGGGCAGTCAGGAAGGAGGGGGGTTAGATGGGGCGGCAGGGGGCAGTCAGGGGCAGGGGTTCCGGGGGCAGTCAGGGGACAGGGAGAAGGGGTGGTTGGATGGGGCTGGGGTCCCGGGGCGGGAGCGGCGTCAGGAATGAGAGGAGGGGTTCAATGGGGCAGTGGGAGTCCGGGGGCAGTCAGGGGACAGGGAGCGGGGGGGTGTGGATGGGGCAAGTGTCCCGGGGGAGGAGGGGGACCAGATAGGAGGTGGGAGCCGGGCCACGACCCCCTCCCTTAACCGGCCCTCCATGCAATTTACGAAACCTGATGCAGCCCTCAGGCCAAAAAGTTTGCCCGCCCCTGCCATAGAGTTTCAATCAGATTCTGAGTAGATCCATTTTTCTTCACTGGTTAACTCAGAAGAAGAAGAGAATACACCGATTTGGCCACAAATATTTGCATCACTTGGTTGGTAAATATCTAACTATGGAAGCTTCCCTCCTGTTCTGTCCCTACACAAACGCACTCCAATGAAGGTGGATTCATTCTACTATCCTTTGTTACAGTCAAATCATTGTACTAACTGAATAGGAACAAGACTAATCTAAAGGTGTCTCACTGTCTAAACACTCAAGAAAGTGCTTATTTAAAGAAACATTCAAAAGCTGCAATTGTAAATAAGTGCCTCCTCAGACAGAGCACCTCTTGAGTAAGAACTGGATGTTTGTGCAGGAACTTTTATAATTACGGGGTCTGTATTTCAGAGCACCAGAATGACCAGAAGGAATTGCTGTAGTTTCGTGGCAATATGTGCCTACCACAGATACAAGCCTAGTAAAAAAATATGGCCTTTGCTTATGTCAACAATGGTATCAAGTACAGCTAGAAACATGCCTGCTGATCTGCTATTTTGGTTTCACGCTACTAAGGCAACAAATGGCAGCATTTCCAACCAATTATTTAAACTTACCATAGGACATACAGTCCTCACAAGGCATTGGGCTATGTTTGCACAAACCCACTGTTTGAAGTTTACATAGACTATGAAATTGTGATCAAAACCAAATTTGTGTCCCACTAACTTTTAAATCATCACACATGCCAATGCCTAGCCATATACATGATTACTCCTGAGGGCATTCTCTGCCAAAAAATTAAAAATTCTGCACATAATATTTTAAAATTCTGCAAGCTTTATTTGTCAATAAATAAATGCAGAGACTCCAGCATGGCAGTGGGGAGCACAGGCCACTGGCTGCACAAAGGTGGGAGATCATCCTACAGCCTCCCCACCCAGGGGACACAGACTCAGCGGTGAGGCTG